TGGTGCAATCACAGTCCCTGGAAGTGTTCAAAAAACATGTGGATGTGGTGCTTAGGGACATGGTTTAGAGGTGGACCTGGCAGTTAGGTTAAAGGTTGGACTCGATCTTAGAGGTCTTTTCCAACCTTAAAGATTCTGTGATTCTATGGATCAGCTATCTGGAGTGCAGCCTTTACTCAAGAGAGATTTGCCAAGATAAAATTGAGAGAGAAACTGTTCCTTGTGTAAAATAAAGGGGGGGGGGGGGAAATAGCTGCAAAACTGGTAGAAGAAAAGCAGCATCAACTGTTGAAGGAAAGAGAAGTACTATAAGGAGCAGGCAGACCCTGCTGAGCTCCATACTACTATTACTACAGTCACCTAGAATGAAGTGGGAGATAGTCTGAGCCTGTCTATTATAGCTGGGGACAGAAAGACATACCATAGCTAGGACAGCCTGAAGAGATACAGCAGTCAAAGCTTTAATTAGTTTATTTAGGTGACTGTGCACACAGATCCACAAGCGTAGACTTGGAGAATCACCTGGGTACTCAAGCACCCAAATGCTCTCAAGTCTTAAACCAGGATAAATTTATATGCAGCTGCCTGCTGCAGGCAGTAAGATTCTTAGCTCTAGCAAAAGGGGCACAAGGCAGACCCTGAACAATGGACGTTATCCACTTACAGCAGGTGAGAGAGGCCAAAACTTCCCACGCATGTTCTGCTACCACTCTTTACTCCAGAACACAAAACTGGAAGAAAACTAGGCATGCTTGTTACACACCATTCTCAGCAAATTAGCCATCACTAAAGCACAATGCAAATATCCTACCCAAAACTGAAGGTGGCGAGTTTGGAAGTTTCATTCTATAACAGACAAAACAGGACACTGCTTCAAACAGCAAGAAGTTGAAATCCTCAGGGTTGATTCCACAAGCAGGCAAAGGGGAACCCTCTAGAACCGTGGTGGGAAGCAAGTAGTACAAAGTTGACTCCTTTGGCCATGAGCTTACCTGAGTTATTTCTGTCATCTATGTATCTGAGGTCATCAGCTGCATCAGGTGACTGGAAGAGAACAGAAGACATGAGCATCCATGTCTGTAACACTAGTGCCAGGTAATTCCCCACCTCCAGCCTTCCAACACGCTACAGAGAACCTTTTGCCCTCAAAGGCGCTGGTAATACAGCAGCCAGGGCGTGACCCTCAGTGAACTCACACAATCAGAACATTAATCCTTTGGGCTAAAGTCAAGCAGCCCATTGCCTGAATTGCAGGATGAGGTGTGTGTCTGCCCATCAGAGCTCTCTTCCTTTTACCTTGTGTGTGTAGGGAGGAGAGGATAGGAAGTGACATGAAAGGCAGAAAGTGTAAAGGCTATAGAAAATGAGTAGAAACATGGGAGGAGAGCAAAGACATGAGCAACATTTCCTTGAGAGTCCTGGATCCTAATTCTGCATCTGCACTGTTCCCAGGTCTAGCTTCTTATGCAAAATCAACTTTCTTCTTTATATTCAGGTGTGTAGAGAGAACTGATGTGGGATAGGAAGCAGTTACATCCCAACAGATGGCAGAGACAGCTTTGGAGAAATAGCTGAGTGATAATCATGAAACTCCACCAGTTCCTGCTAATTTTAAAGCCTTCACAAAATGAAGACCATTCCAACAACCAGAGCTGTCTGTAGCTCATCAGACCAGAGTGACAACACCATGAGAAAACAACTTTGCTCATGGTCATGAACTTGAGGTGGCGTGAAAATCAGCACTGCTCTGGGGACAGACATAAATGTCCCAAGCCCTACTTATTTTGCTGAAATAGAAAAACTTTAATCTAGCTGTATACAGTGCTTCAAGGATAGCAAGGTCAAAGTATTCTGTTGAGGTATTCTGTTTACTTCAAAAGTGGCTGCATTTGTTACTTCTACTACTCTTTCTATATTTGTACACAATACTTATACTGAGCTTAATACTTCTCTGAGCTATACAAGGAAGAGCTCAGTATTCAGCAAGTTTAATAATGCCAAACTCGTCTGAAAGTTCTGGCCGCTACTCATCAAAGTCTATCTTTTAGGGGTCTTCTTGCTCAGCTCAAGAGCACAAGTGAGGAGTAGCTTTATTTTTCTTTAGTTGTAGGATAAAGGATAGCGGCTCTATACACTTACATGTAAAGCATTAAGGAAGTTTCACAGCTGTGAGTGCAAGAAGCCCTCATTCCATATAGACTTGCCTATTCTGTGCAAGCAGCAAAACCGGAAGAGGCAGTAAAGAGAGGGAGATGATCTCAGCCCATTTAGTGCTTTAGAAATAAAGCAAATATATGGTAGAAGTCATGCTCTTCAGGAACAGCAGAGAGCAGAGCACAGGGGGCTGTGACGACTTTGGCACGCATTGCTGAGAAACACAGCCCAGCCAAATAGCACTGCACTGATCCAAAGTGAGTGACAGAGTTGTGTGACTATGGCCAGGAAGAAATAGAGTCTCTTAATTACTGCACTGCTGAGAGAGGTCCAGAGGAACTGCCTGTTGATTTGGAGGTGCAGCCTCCTTTGGAGGCACCCTCTCAGCTGCATGAAGACACAGTGCTGCACTGTGGCCTCACCAGGCTTGGACAAACAGGTAGTCCAGAGCTGCCACTGGGGCTTGAGTGGCCAGCCCTCTAACTCACTTGGTACAGAACCTGGACGGGTGCACACCCCAAAAGGGAAGGGATTCTTATAGAAAAAGATGAGTGACTACCAAGGGCTGAGCAAATCCTCCAGTCAAAGGAGTCAGCCAAGAATATGCATCAAATAATGTATAACTGCCTGAGAATCCTCAAACTGCAACTCTGCTAAAGTCAGCCGGGCTTTGGGGATGAAACTTTGGACCTGGAATCTTTGTGTCATGACAGCAAGTTAAAGCCCAACATGTCAGTACTTGCTAGCTCTCCACACACAACACAAACCTAAGTGCAGGTATCTGCTTCATTGCTTTTATATAAAACTAAAAAAAGAAAAAAAACCCTAAACCTAAACAAAAAAATTACAGACATACAGTATCTGCTCAAATCAGCTGTCACAAATGCAATCAGTTAATGACTAACCCAGAGAATAAAAGAAAGGCAGTTCACAGTCCTGGGCAACTGGCTCTAGGTGGCCCTGCTTGAGCAGGGGGGGTCGAACAAGATGACCTCCAGAGGTCCCTTCCAACCCCAACTGTTCTGTGATTCTATGACAAAGCAGCTTAAATTAAATGAGGTTCTTTTAGGAAGGAGAAGAACCTTGCCATGGCACTCACCCTCAAAACTTGGTGTTCTTTTACCATGTGATTATTTCACAGTTCATCTACAGCAGAGTTACAACATATGAGAATTGTCACCACAGCTGCTTCTTGGGCAGGATGCTGGATACATTCCAGTTCGAAGTAAACATTTGCTCCAATTTGCTATTTGTTGGCAATTGTTTCTATAGTTTTTTCGTCCCTCTTATTTCTCATCTTTCACTTAAAAATATTTCAGGATCAATTAAGGTGAAGATGTAGCTGCTTTGTATTTGCAAAGCTTTTGTCATTAATTTTAAAACCATCTGGACCAACTTTTTCACAATTCCACTTGACTGAAGTCTCCAGTTAAACCCTCAGTTATACAGCATGGCTGGTTGTCATTGCCTCCCACACAGACTGGGCCTTTGAAGAGGACTTTCTCAAATCATTCAGCCTCTGAAGGTCATCACTTCATGTGCAGGCAGTTCCATCAAATCAAGCCCTAATCAATCTAATAGAAGGTTCAGCATGCAGTTTATACCTGGATTTCGTAAACAGGTTTGGAGGAAGGAATAGCAGCAAATTCCCGGTAGTCAAACTTCTTTTCAGACATGGACTAGAAGGTACAGCAAAAGAGAAGAAACAGAGAAGAGAGAGTAAGGGGAGAGAAATGGATGGAAAACCAGCAGCAAGCTGAGCAATCTATGCAGAGATAAAAGCAGAAGCAGAGCATCATTCTCGGTTAGTGCCAAGAGTGCCTGGATACAGCCTCTGAAAATGAGGCATCTCTGGGACAATGTCTTTTTAGCTGTTCTGGTGTCAGGACAGGGGTTCCAAGTTGCAGAGAAAACACTGTGTGCTCCAGTATAATGCACATGCACGCCAAGTTAGGTAGGAAACCTATTTTTGTGGGAAAATTCATGGCAAGATTCCTGATAGCTGTAGCACAGTCAGGATTTCAATCCAGAGTTGGCTGTATTGTGTGACCTTGGGCAAAACCAGGTCCCCTCTCTGTGTAGCTGCTCCCACTCTTCTGTTTGTCTGTCTTACTGATTTTGACAGTTCTCTGCAACAATATGCTGTTTGCATTTATATACTGCTTAGAAAAAGGAAAATGCTGATTTCAGCTGAAGTTCTCAGTTTTATGCTGTTGAGGAAACAAGGGGCCAAAGTCTCTGAAGTGAAAGACTTTCTGAACATGGAGATGAAGATCCAAGAAAAGGACGAAATAATGAAAAAGGCAAACAGAAAACAGATGTTACATCTTAATTGCAAAAAAGGGGGGGATGCCTCTAGCAATGGGTATGGCAGAGCTCCATCCATTGTGCCCTCTTCACAATTCTGTGTATCATGCAGCCAGACCTGGCGTAAGTATTTATGTAGGAATCCCATGGCCCAGATGCACAGTCCACACCCAAGCTGAGTAACCAACAAATACCAGGATTATAGGCAAGATAACAAAAGCAAGCAGAAGTATGTCATACCAGCCTTCCCGGTGAAGTGACGTTTCTGGGACTGCAATCTGCAAAAGATGACAGAAAAGCACTATTTAGTGAATACACAACACTTCCCCAAATCTGCCCCTTCCATTTAACACCATTTAAGTGTGATAAAAGACTATGCTCAGGAAAGACACTGCCTCCTCAGAACAAACTCCTCTTTTCTGTTTTTTCAAAAAGTCATGATGCTGGTTTTATTTCTGCTCTGGTTCCCTGGAACCATACCTCAGATGTTCTCTCACATTTTCTACAGATCAGGTTCATCCCCTATGCTGAGAGATGTCATATACCCCAAAGGACCTTCCAATCTAGGCTGAAGGAGGAAATTGCTTTCAATAAGTCTGCTTTCAAGCAAGTTAAGCTAGAGAAGCACTAACTTTTTTTGATAGAGATAGCTATACAGTACCTTCCAGTGGTGTTGGTGATGGGGTAGGAACAGGTGAAGGTGACTCTGCCAGCTGCTCCAGCGTGCTGCGTTTTTTCCCCTCCTTGGACTTGGCAATAACCATTTGGGCTTTAAGAGCATCCTGTTCAAGTGATTTCATCCTGCCTCAGAAATGAGGGAGGGAGAAAAAGACATCAGACATTGCCTTCTCAATAAGAGATAATGCCGCCGTCTGCGGCCAGCAGCCAGACCACAGTCAACAGGCTGAGTGCAGAAAGGCAAAATTAAGCACCCTTGGTTCCCTGAGGCAGACAGACTTTCAAAGCAGGAGAGGAGAACAGCTTGGTTTGCTGCCATCCTGAAACACACATGCCATCATATGTGTTGAACAAACAGAGCCTAGAGCTAAGCATCAACGCACTGAGAAGCTGCAGGCCTTTCCAGAGGTGCCATATGTGATGGGAGAGCAACCCAAGCTGGGAAAGGAACTGCAGGGGCTCAAATGAGTAGGATCAGTTCTCAGGGCTTTACTCTCCTCTCAGTGTGTCACATCTTAACCCTCTTCAGCCATCAGGAGATTATGAAATAGCTAGGAAAAACCGGGCTCAGCCCTCAGAAATGTCTGCTCCCTTCTCCCAATCAAACAGACCCAGCATCCCCCCTCATTCTCATTGAGACAACTGCCAGTAGTCTGTGGGACCTCAGGGAAATGAACACCAGCAACCACTAAAATCTCCTCCCTACCCATAGCAGGCCACAGCTGGGAGCACTGCGTTAGGATGCAGGGATACAGACAGGACTGTTGAGCATGCAGCTGGCAGGGAGGGGGCTGTGCACACCTGGATTGGCTTCCTGACCCAGGGATTCTTGAGGCGTGACTCTGCATTGGACTAGACATCTGAGCTGGCCTGGCCCCGGGAGCAGGTGCCCACTGTCGGGACTGGTACAGCTTCCTGGCCAGATCCTGCTCGTACTGTTTAATACTGTCTTCAAGAGCTGAGGATCTGAGGAGGAGGAAGAGGAGGAGGAGGAAGAGGAGGAAGAGGAGATGATGATGATGAACACTGCAGCAGACAAGTGCAGGGAAAAAAGAAACAGATACAGGAACATATCCTGGCAAGGAGAAACAGGGGTCTGATATAGGGGTAGCCTTGATTAAAACAGGCTCCTGTATCTGATCCTGTCCAACACCAACTGCTGCAGAAGAAGCAAGAACCTCTAGAGGGCAATCTGGGATGACGCACCCAGAAGCATTAGCCTTCAGAGCCTCAGCATCTAGAGACTGCCGCCCTCACGGTCTGGGAGGATCGGGCTAGAAACACCCAGCAGACCAATGGAAAAGGCCCAGGAGGTAGTGACAGAAGCGTGTATGTGTGAAGCAGACTGAGGGAGTACAGGGCATGAGTGAGTGTGCGTGCATACATTTGATAGTCTCTTAGTGTACATTTGCATACATGTATCTGACCACCTGTTAGCATGCACCTTTGACCACAAGGGGAAGCAAAACGGACAAGCACATTATGGAAGGTCTATTTACCACAGGCCCCAGAACACATGCAACTGAAGAGGTGAGTGCATCCATAAAATACCATGTGCGTGGTAGGAAAACTGCCAAGATGCATATAGCCCTTGCTGGACACCTGCCCCCCTTGATATGTGCCTGTACCTTCTTAATCACACTCTTCCTATGGCACGAATGCCAGCAGTTGTGTATGCCCAGAACACCTATGTAGCATGGGTCCCAGTGTGTTTGTCCCAACAGAGCACAAGGGGGTGTGCTGGGGGTGGGGGTGCGTATCAATGTCCTGGCAGAGCACTGATGACACAGGGAGAAAAAGGGAAGCCCAAGAAGGTGCAAACTGATGGGGTCACGAGTGACAGCACATAGACCAGAGAACTGGAAAGAAGCAGAAGATAGATTAGAAAGAAAGTAATAAAATCAGTGGCATGCACTTAAAGAAAATACACGTTAGTGAGGCTGCAGCACCATGTGCAGGGCAATACAGTCCTCCCTTCCACACAGCACATGTAGTGCTGCCTGGGGGCCTCTGGAAATAAGACCTAAGCCCTGGCTGTCATCACGTCAGGGGGCCTGCTCTAGCAGTTACAGAAGAGGGATCCTGAGAAGACCAGATCATCCTGGGAGATCTGTGGTAGCAGGGAACAGTCCATCCTTGTCTTACAAAAAGGAGCACATTATGGTGACTGACTGATTCCTGCCGATGCCAAAATAAGCAAGGCCTTAACCCTACCCGAGGAATCAGCCAGACACTTCTCTAAGAACTGAATAAAAAAAGCTACACCTTGGTATTAGAAGCAAAGTGGAGCTGAGGACGTGGTCTGCAGAACTTAAAAACAATAACACTGAATCTGATAACTGAAAAGCAAGACAGCTACAAGTAGCTTCTCCTTGTCATGTATTTTTACCTCTAAAAGGCTCTCCCTTCACTAGTTCATTTTCCATGAACAAAACATGCTTAGAAGAGACTGAAAGTTTGGAATGCAGCGATCTCTCTCCTGCCCATAGCAGACAAAATCACTATCCTCAACACTCACTAATCCTCTACAGTGTAATGTAGAACTTGTACTGTGCCCTAAGCAATTTCAACAAAATCCTAGCTAACCCAAAAGCATAGTCAGATGTACAGTAATATTACAGGAGCAAATCATGTGATCACCTAGAAAAATCCTGCCCCCTTCCCAGCATTTTTCAGATTTCTTTATCTCCTGGCAACAGCAACAAGTTCATGGAAGTCCTGAGGCAAGTGGTGTACACTCTGTGACACGAGCGATGTCCTTGTAATGGCTTTGCTTTCAAAGGTTTGCGCAGGCAATGTCATGTTTCTCCTTTCTACACCCACCTTAAACAAAGCTTTTATTACAGCATTCCTTGGATATATTAATGCGTAGGCTTAGGAGGAATCAGAGACGACATTACCTCATAAAGCCTGCCCCACTGCATGAGGAAATATGCATGGGAAGTGAAGGCATGAGGGAGAGAAAATCCTGCGTATCTAATTGGGAAGAAATGACAGATCAGTCTCTACTGCCTCTCCAAGCACACTGATGTTGATTTTCAGGAGGAGAAGCCCAACAGACAGCTTCTGTTTTGTTGGATCAAATACAACAGTGAAGCTTTTTTTTTTTAGGTGCAAAGACTGAGCAGCAACTCCATGCAAGATATCTACTCCTGACAACACTGTGGTGCTTACACAGCATCATATTGACAGTCAGTTTTTAATGTATTCAAAGCTCATAGCCTTCCTGTGAGACAGAGAAATGCTATTACAGTCCTCTCTCCGTGAATCTGCAGCACAGAGGGACTCGGTGATCTGTCCAACGTCATAAGGAAGTATATGCCAGAGCAAGAATTTGGATCTGGTCATCTCAGTCCCAGCCAGCCTCTTCTGAGCAATGGTTTGTAAGCACACATTTGGCTCCACAACATCTACACAGCTTATAATACAAGGGCAACGTGTCTGTTTTGGCAGGCATTGCTTACAAATTCTCTTCCACTTGCATTTTTGTAAAAGGGTTGTTCCTGGCTTAATGTGAAAATACAGAACTTCCATTTGCAAATGATGGCACCTGAAAAGTTGTGACACAGAAACCATGGGAACAGCATCAACTAGAACAAGCAGGAGATGCCAAATTCAGTGAATCAGAGCAGCAGACAGAATCCCACAGTATTTGGAGCATGAAACAATAGCCCAGGGTGGAAACAATCCTGCCAGAGCACACTCTGTTGACATCCTGACTCATCACTGTGCCTGTATGCAGGCATCCCCGTTAGTGGGGAGCTGGGGAATACTAAGTATAGACTCACAGAGTAATTCAGGTTGGAAGGGAGGTCATCTGATCCAAAAGCTGCTCAAAGCAGGGCCAGCTTCAAAGGTCTAACAAACATGCTACAAGATGACCGAAATCAATCTCTTCCCAATCAAGGTTCCATATAACAAACAGGCTTTCCAGTGACCTGTTCAGTTTTCTGACATTACAGGGCAGTGCAGTGAGACTAAGGCAGTGCTTCAGAAAAAAACTTCCAGCTGAGACAGACCAGACAAAGGACTCATCCAAAGCAAAGAGTTGGAGCATACAAAGAAAGTTTTTCTTGAAGGGCAAAAGCCCTGGTACTGGGAACATTACTCCAGCTCTAAATAAACCATAAGCAGATCTGTTACGTGATCAAGTAACAATAGGAAGCTTTGTACCCTCAAAGCCCTAGATAATTAGACAGCTCTCATTGAGGGTTCCACTATAGATTTCTTCATCCTCAGAGCTTCCCCAGAAGATGACAGCACCATTATCATCCATGTCTAAGCACAAACACTGGAATTACCAAGTGGTATCACAACTCACGGTAAGCCCTCCAGCATCTTATCTAGCAGGCTGGCAAGGATGAGTCACTAGCAGCCCTGTTCCTCTAAAAGCTCTCATTCAAATCCCAAAAGAGACTGCTTCAGATTGTCCTCTGAATGCCTCCTACAGGAACATTATGGGAAGAAAACTATAATTAGTTATAGGAGCAGCTTGACTACTTTTTGAAAGGAATTATATGACACAGTAAATGCCTGGACTAGCTTCAAGTCTTAAGTTCTGAGCTAGAAAGCTCTCTTTCTTCCAAAACAATTTTTAATCATTCTTTCATAGCTGATGAAACAGCTTGTGTGGATAAGAATGCCCTCGTCTTGCTAATTTCTTGGCTTCAGCAAGTTTTCCAGTCTAGCAACACTGAATATGTGAAATGCTTTTTCCATTTTTCACTTTGAATATGTCACCTTGCAGCTTCAGTAAATATCATCTTTTTCATGTGTTACAAAGGAGGTGAGAAGCTGTGTGCTGAGAGGGAATGAATACACTCACCATCACATAAAGGTGTGTAAGTTATGTTTTTTATAAAACTCCACTGTCTTCATGATTGTGCAAGCACTGTTGAAATATAAGAGACATCTCACCCATGTAGCCATCAGAAGCAGATGAGCTCAGCCAAGCGGCAGATGCTTTGCACTGTTTGAACAGATACTACATAACCTCCCCTAACATCGGACTTGGGAAGGCTTGTTTATTCCCTGTTTTTAATATCATGTAATCCAAAAGACATGCAGCGGGTCCCCTTTTCCTGAACTAGCCTACTGAAGAGAACAGTGAAGGTTCTTCTGTCTCACCGTGCTGCCCTCCACATTGCTCGTTTCTCTGCCTCCAGAGCACGACGTTCTGCTGGAGAAAGCTCCTTCTCTTGACCACTCAGAAGCTCAGGACTCTGCATTCGCAATCGCTCCTGGTGCCGCCGTTCAGCTTTGGCTGTCCGCACAGGTGCCACTGGATCCCCTGCTCCAAGATATAATGGACTCAACCTGGGCAGAGAGAGAAACAGTGAGAGGTAGGCTGGCCTGATCCACCACAACTGTTATCTGCCTGTTTTCAAGATAAAAGGTCATGACCGACACCCCCAATCAACTGTTTAGTACCACATCCAAGGACATCACTTTGGGAGATGGAAGGACACATAACAGAGGTGAGTTTCCCTTAAGAGGCTGGTTCTGATCACGGTTTCCCTTTCTCCTCAAAATCCTTCCTTTTACAGCCTATGTCTGCTAAAAAGCAGGAGCCATCTGCTCCATCATCTGGCAGCTCCTAGGCAAAGGACATTGCTGATCCACTTACCCAGACATAGAGTTTGTTCTTTGTTCAGGCTTGATTCCCTCTTCCAGTGAATTCCTCTGTGAGCTGCTGTTCTCATTGACCTCAGAGGTCCTAGAGCAAAACAAGCACATCAGCTAACAGTACCACAGGCTGGCATACCCAAGAAAGGTTCAGAACAGATCCAAGCCCCAGAAAGCAACAACTAGTTCAGTTTGAAGACACAACGCTTAATGATTTTGCTCAACAGCTCCTTCTCCATTGCTGCAAGCATTTCCGTGTTGATTTCATAAATATTCACACTAACATTAGAACTCATTTTCTTCATTTGGAGGTCAACCATCCACTAACACACACACACACTTCAAATGTAATGCATCGTGTTTGCTGGCAAGTTCTTGCACACTTCTAGCCTGGTTCTTTCCAGCTGCCATTACGTGATGGGCAGCCTGGCTGCTTCCAGCTTTTCCCTTTGCTGATGTCAGATATGCATGAATGTTAACAAAGGATGACCCTCCTGGGTTGTAAGTGAATGCACATCTGGGTTAGGGATGAATCCTGAGTGATCTCAGAACAGTGATTCTCAATATAGTCACTCTGTGCACAATGGCTTAACACACTGAGGCTTTATGCTCATAACGAAATTACTGCAAACTTCAGATCAGCTGAGCTGTAGTTACCATCTGCATTCTTAAGTTGTGCACATGCAGATACTACTCAGTTTGATCTATAATGAAAGGAGGTCACACAAGCCTGTTTTCCACAGGTTAAGAACATGCACACAGGTACTGTGGCTCAGATGGCAGTGAGAAAGTTTACCATGACTCTGAGCCCTTATTTTTACTGCTCAAGTTTATTTTGATTAAATTTCATTTTCTGTTCTGGCGTGACAAAAAATATTTCAATAAACACAAAATCAGTCTATTCCACTGCCTTGCCTTTTTTCAAGCATAAATAATGAGCAACCCGAAGTCATCTGATGGATCCAGCCTAACTGTTCTCTAACCTCTCACATTTCAATATGAAAACTGTAGGGATAAGTAGGCCTTCACATCAAACCAAGAAGCTGGTTTGCATTTGGCTGCTGTCCTTCCTTAGAGCTGCCCTGTCAGCACCGGAGGTGGAAGGTCTCAGTGCATTCTTTACATGAGAAGTTCCGCAACAGGGACTGGACAGAAACAATGGAGAGAAATGAGATTCAAAATGACAGGGTAAGTGTTTTCAGCCACTGTAAGACTGATAACAAAAGTGTGAAGAGAAGAATGTCTGTACCAAAGGCTCAGAAGAGAGAGTCAGATAAGGACAGCTTCAGCTTTATTCTAGTGCAACCTTATTTTTATCGGAAGTCTTATGACAAGCCTTTTCTCATTCCCCAGTTCTATGCCCAAGAATTAGAAAAACAACATCAAGGCAACCTGGAGGACAAGTCCAGGAGAACCAGGAAACAAAACCCTAAAAACCCAAACCTAGGTTCAGCATCAGGGCTTATCTTGAATTAGCTATCTCTAAAAATCAACATCTCTACATACCCAAGTGCACAGCTGAAGGAGCCATTCTTCTGAAAAGAAAGAGCTGGAAGAACCTGCCCATTTCTGTGCTGAAGAAGAAATACTGCCCAGCCATCTTCCCTGAAAATTATTGATACTGGGACACCTCTGACACATGTGGGTGGTACTGAGCTACCAGTCTTGTCTTACCGAGTTGCTGGAGCCTGGATGCTCCTTCCATTTAGTCTCTCAATCTTGTACTCAACTCCTTCAATGATGACACTGGACTGCATGCTCATCTCAGGCACCTGTTTTACCATCTCATCCTCTTCTGCCTCTTCCTCCAACAGAAGGGTACGTTTCTGCTGCAGTTTTCGAGCTGCCAAAATAGGACAGACTCATAACACAAAGCACTCGCTAAAGCCCCACAAGGATGCAACCTCTCGGCAGGTCCTTATGCTCATCATCCCTGCAAGTTTGTGCTCTTTTAAGTCCATGCTCTCTCCATGGATGCCTTTGTTTCTCCTCCACTCCACTAATGCTTCAGATATAACAAACTCTACACCATTCCCTCAGTCCCTCCTTCCTTATTCACTAAATTTCTATTCCTGGACACTCTATAGAACAGATTTCCAACAGTTCATCATGCTGGGTCTACTCATCCTCAAACTCGAAGTTGTGTGCAGACTCTTCTGCCCCCTTCCCCAGAGTGGACAGCCCATGGAATCTGCATACACATGTTGAGTCCGATCTTCCCACTTATCTCCTAGAGGAACCAAAGCCTGGAGTGCTTGTGATGGGCTTCCACACATGGCAGTGGACTGGGGGAACCATTAGGCAGGCAAACATATAGGTCACAGGAGTATCAGGGACAAAAGGGGCCAGAGAGCAGGATGCTCTCTGCAGGCAAGTATTCTGCAGGCGACCAGTCACCAGTGGTGTTCCTCAGGGTTCAATTCTAGGGCCAGTTCTGGTCATTATTTTTATCAACAATCTGGATGCAGGAGTTGAAGGCACCATTAGCAAGTTTGCTGATGATACTGAACTGAGAGGTGCTGTTGACTCTCTCAAGGGACATGAGGCCTTGCAGAGGGATTGGGCAATCATCAAGAGCATGAAATTTAACAAGCACAAATGCTGGATTCCGCACCTGGGACAGAGTAATGGCAGGCACAAGTATAAATTGGGAGAGGAGCGGCTGGAGAGCAGCCCTGCAGAAAGGGATCTGGGGGTGCTGGTTGGCAGCAGGCTCAATAGGAATCAGCAGTGTGCCCTGGCAGCCAAGAAGGCAAACCACATCCTGGGGTGCATCAAACACAGCATAACCAGCTGGTCAAGAGAGGCGATTATCCTGCTGTATTCAGCATTGGTGCAGCCTCACCTCAAGTACTGTGTGTGGTTCTGGGCCCCACCATTTAAGAAGGATGTGAAGGTACTCGAATGGGTCCAGAGCAGGGCAGCAAAGCTGGTGACGGGGCTGGAAGGCATGTCCTATGAGGAGTGGCTGAGGACTCCCAGTTTGTGTGGTTTGGAGGAAAGGAGGCTGAGGGGAGTCCTCATTGCTCACCACAGCTCCTTGAGGAGGGGACGTGGAGAGGGAGGTGCTGATCTCATCTCCCTGGGATCCAGAGACAGGACACCTCGGTATGCTGCATCAAGGGAGGTTCAGACTGGACATTAAGAAGCATTTCTTTACCAAGAGAGTGGTCAAACACTGGAACAGGCTTCCTAGAGAGGTGGTGAATGCCCCATGCCTGTCAGTGGTTAAGAGGCATTTGGACAGTGCCCTTAATAATACACTTTAACTTTTGGTCAGCCCTGAATTGGTCAAGCAGTTGGACTAGATGATCATTGTAGGTCCCTTCCAACTGAAATATTCTATTTTATTCTGACCTGCCTACCATAACTGCAAAGTAATAACACTGCTTGGCCTCTTTTATTAAATGTTTTTAAAATAAACAAATGCATACATGGTGTGCCCATATGCTGAAATTTCTAATGCTGCATTTTGCTAGCAGTGGGAGCCCAAAGCAGCAGAAATACTTGTATAAGTGCTGGAATTGCAAAGATCCAGAGGATGTAACTTACCACTTTGAGATACTTGATTTGGATGTTTCATCCTGAGTAAGCTAAAACTTAATTTATTGTCTGGACAACCTTCACCATGGGATCTCTCTCCCCCAGAGGGATTTTTTTTTTTTTTTTTTTAAATTCTAGTACTCAGAGATATCCTGATTAGAGGTGATGTTTCTCCTCATCTACCCCACTTAGCAAATCTCAAAACAAGCTGAAATGCAAGCCTAAAACTCATCATTACTCTATAGTTTCTCCTTCCATACTTTCTATCTTGATCTTTGCATCTTCTACATCTCTCTTTTAGCCAACAGTAAGAGTCTGACATACCCAGATAACTTCTTATGTTGGACCTGTGATTCTTTTGGCCACATCACACTGAAGAAACCCGAAATGACAAGTTGCCATTTCCTTTTCTTATCTTCCTTTCTATCTTTTATGAGCTTACTCTTGTCTTAAAATGTATTCATGTTCCTGAACTACTAAGTGAAAATGAGAAGGTTTCTAATGCTCTGGACAAATTCACAAACAGCTTCTGAATAGGAATATAGGAAGGAAGGTGAGAACGAGAAGACTAGCTATTTATAAAAAGAAAAACAAACAAACAAACAAAAACCAAACCAACGGAAACCCCAACAATTTACAAAAGAAATTCTATGATAATCTTTGCAAGCAACAGAGTCACAGCTCCCAAACCCAGAAGTCCAATTCCAGCTGTATTTTCTTATGGAACAGGACAGGATTTCAGTAGAAGGCCTTTTTTTCCACTTAACATCATTCCTCATCACTTTTTAAAACAACTCTCAAGCAGGAGGAAATTACATCAAAAACTATAGCAGTAATTTTTCCCTCCTGTTGCAAGCCCTGTGCAAAATCAGAACAGCATACTGAGCAATAAAAGCTCAACTGTCATGTACTATGTAAGGATGCCATGGGCAACCCCATGTTGCTGCATATCAGCCTGGGCAGCTTACAAAGAAACATCATTATTTCTAGTAGCTTTTTAAAATTTTATTGAAGTGTTTACCAACTACAGGAAACCCTGACACCACAGCACTTCCACCAGTCCACTTAGTAACAGTGCAGCATCCACAAAACTCCTTAACGTTCACTTACTTCAAGCTATTACCAGGCCTTATGAATAGCCACCCATGGGCTTTTGGAAGTGCTGGATTTCTGGTTTGTGTGCTCTCTCATGCCTCCCACAGAGAAAGGATTCACTTAACACGCCAAATTTCCTTGCACAGATTCCAACATACCTTCCTCCTCTTTCATTTTCTTCAGGTCATCCTCTCCTACCAAGGAGACACGCTTGGGAGGCTTATCCATCTGCTGTTGCTTCACCTCAATTTCGAAATACTTCTGCCTCTCCCGGAAGGATCTCTGCTCAGGGCTGTGCAGTCCGCTGGGGCTGTGCGTGGCCACCTGCGAGAGCCACACTGGCACTGCCCACAGAGCAACTGAGCCAAACCTCCCTCCCCACATTTTCCCCAACGCGTGCCCCACACCTGCCCCCCCAGCCACATGCTCCACACCCTCTTCCTCCTCCGCAGCCCTCCCCTGTGTGCCCACGCTGCAATCCTGTCTCCACATCCACAGCCCCGAAAGCCTGAATCCTCTGCGAGTCCCCATCCTAATTCCAGCTGCAGCCACCAGAACTCACCTCCGGGGCAGTTTTGGAATTCTCTGTGCCGGTCTGACCAGGAAATTCCTAAGAATACAGAGAAACGGGCATGTTCTAAAAAGAAAGCTTTCTACCACCACTCCTGCCCTCCAGCCAAGTGTCACCAATGCCAGATAAACAGCAGCAGTTCTGGACATTAGCTGATGGACTGGTTCACAAAACAGTCCCAGAATTAACACAAGACAATGCCACTTTAGGCTTAGCAATCATGAGTAATAAGGATCTATGTTAAACTGAGGGCTAAACAGAAACAGATGGTGACAACTTTTGAAAGGGCAGAAACTGAAAAACATGGGGAAATAGGTGAAGAACAAGACCAGAGAGCTTAGATTAAGATGGAGGAGGCTTAGACTTTCTTTAAATCAAAGACACAACTATCACAAATTTACTTCTAAGAAGTGGAAACACAGTCAGAAAAGAAAGAAATTCGTATTTACCAAACTAAATAACAGAATATTGGATGAGTAGAACTACAGGGGGCAGAAAAAGAAACTGATCCACAAAATCCATCTGTGAACTAGAAATTGATAAGGGTAAAATGAGAACTGCCAAGAAGTTATTAAAAATATGAAAGCTTTTTAATTATACAAATGAAAAGGAACCACAAGAAGAGAGCAAGTGGACTACCTTCAACTTCAACTTTATTCAAATGCACCTCAAAAACTAATAGAAAGTTTTAATTTTGTATAAGTAAGGAGCACAATAACAAAGAAGGTAAGAAGAAAATAAAGAAAAAGCAGCTTCTAGCTAAGAAGTAAATGTGTGGAAATAGAAATTATTGCTGCTAACACAGAAGAAAACCTAAGAGCTTAATACACTCACCTGCAGGGATAAGATAGTAACTGTTCAACAATTCTGAGTTAAATGACTTGTGAAACTGCAAGTCTGACAAGCATGGATTTTTAATTGACTTGTTTAATTGGGTGGCAGTTCATGTCTAAAAAATAGCTAATATATTCTTAAAAATCAAGAAGCAGGCAAAAATAATTTGAGCAGTGGAGCTATCAGTCTGTTCAATTTCAACAGGACAAGTATTCACAGATGAATACAATTAAAAATAAATAGAAAATATTAAAATGGAACAGGTGGAATGAAGATTAATCTAATATCCTCCTTTGATAATATAAATAATTTTTGAAACAAAGGAACTGCATAGATTTGTCTGAGACTTCAGAGATCAGTGTTGTGACCAACCTTGCTTAACATTTTCATTGCCAAATTTGACTCAGAAACCAGGAAGGTGTGAATAAAATTTGCGAATGGCAAAGACCAAAATACAGACTCACAGAAATGCAGAATTGTCCAAGACCTCTGCAAATTATTTCATTCATCCCACTCCACTGAATGGGGACAAGCATTGTCATAATTCAAAATAGTTTGAAATACCATCCTGGAATGACAAGGAGGATGAAAATAATTTAATAGTGCAAAATACAAGGTGATCTACTTCAGCATCAGTAACTCTTTCTTAAACAACGATACATCAGCTAGAGACTATGAAGCTGGAGAAATCATCTGTGTACAAGATTCGATCTCACTCACGAATTTAGGTCATCTGGTGGGTCACAGATGCCAACAGAGACAAGTTCCAGTTCTTTTTCATCCTGGACTTAGCTAACAACTTCCCTGAGCTTCTACTGACAGTCATCCAACTCCAAGTAAATCAGTCCATAAAGCTAAAATGACCAAAAATCAACCCTACAAACAGTAAAGGAAGATTTGTGACCCATATCAATTTACCAAGCCAGATCAATATGAGGCCAGATGAGCACCAACGCAGGACAAGGTGACAGCGCAAGGACAGGATTAGCTTAGATATAACATAAAGTTGCTGTCACAGGTCACTGCAGAATATCCATAGCTCCCAGTATAGCATGATTATGAAAAAGGTGAGCGCGATCTATTGACATGTTATGAAAGGTATTGTTAATTATGATAAAGAAAGCGAGGAAAGCGAGGAAAGCGAGGAAAGCGAGGAAAGCGAGGGAGGAAAAGACCACAGTAGAAAGAAATCTGTGAAACAGGCTATCTCATTTGCATCAAAGATATGCCAGAAAGAATTCAGATGGGAACAGGTGAGAAGGAAAGCAGCAAGATGATTAAGAGAACCGAGGGTCTTTCCAAACACGAGGTGTCAAAGGGGACAGTGTTTTGCTTCTTTAGTTTAGTAAATGAAGTGATAGTACGATTGCCTATAAACAGACAGCTCCAGAGATCTTGCATAACTGGAGTGCTGCCATGCACGGATACAAGCCCTTCAGGAAGGACAGGCAGGGAAGACAGCATGGGTGATGCCTCAGCAGCATGCTGAACATAGGTCAGGATAATGCCTTTGCAGAGTAAGGGCTGGCCACATACTGGGCTGCTGGAGTGCAGCCAGCAGGTCCAGGGAAGCAATCCTTCCTCTCTATTCGGCACTTACAAGAGCAGTGTGCCCAGTTTGGGGCTCCTCAGTACAAGAATGTCACTAACAAATTGCAGCATGTCAAGTGGAAGACCATCAAAATGATTTAGGGAGCTGCAGGACATGACATTTGAAAACAGGCTCAGAAGGCTGTGCTTTTTCAGACTGGAAAAGAAGAGGCTCAGGAGAAGGGGATCTCATTCCTGTATTCAACTTCTTAGAGGAAGGTTACAGAGCACAAGGTCAGACTTCTGAGAGTTGCACAGCAAAAGGATGAGAGGCAACAGACACAAGTTGTGGTAAAAGAAATTCTGATAAAACATATAGAAAAAAAACTCTTCACAGAAGAGATGGTCATACGCTGGAAGAGACTGCCCACAGTGACCTCAGAATCTCCATTTTTGGAAATTCAGAACTCAAGTGGACTGGGCCTGAGCAACATCATACAACTTCAAAGGTTGCCCTATTTTGCATGGAGGACCGAGGCAGATGACCTCCAGAGGTCTCATCTAGCCTGAATGGTTCCATGATTCAAATACGTGGAGGGGAGAAGGAATAGTTCCAATTAAGTTAAAGATCAAAATCTGATAAAAAAATTCCTCAGAACAGGTTTAGCCTGGCCCTGGACTCTGGAAGTTCAGAGAGTTTATGTCAGAACAGCATGGTTATACAACAGCATCCTAATGTCCAGGAAGAATACCAGTGACATGAAATTCAATGAGCTTTCAGGACTTGATATGTTTATGGACAGGACTCTGCAGGGTGACCGTCTGCAACATGAACAGACTCCAGCTTCCAAGGGGACCTCAACATGTCCCTCCTTCCTACTCTCCTTCACGACAGCTTTCTTTGGAGGAAACAAATCACTACCTCCTTCCTGCTCTCACACTTCCCTTGCTCACCTGCAATGCTCAATCTTCTGTTCGTACCACTGTTTGTGTAACATCCCCCCGAGCCAGCGCTACTTACCTGTGTCTCGAGCAGAGGGTGTGACAAAGGCACTGCTGCAAAGGTCTTGTATGCTTGCTTGACATTGATGGGGATCTCATCAGGAGAGGGTGGTGAAGGTGGCTTTTGCTGCAGGGACAAAGACAGAAGGTAAAGATAACCACAGAAGTTATAAAAAATGAACATGGGGGAAACACAGCACAACTCTCAGCCAGCAAAGCCTGAAGAGTGGAATATATAAGGGACAGCTCCTGTGGCCTTGGGCAGAAACATGAGCAGCATATTGTCTACATGCTATATACAGCAGCACATATATCACAGCCCTGTTTTATTTCTTGGATGGTGGAGGAATACTTCTGGTGGTACAGATCCTCACTGACTTGACCAGAATTTTGTGACTGATCTCTTGGCCAAGGGGCCATATTGCTGTCACAGTCCTTAAGGATTTCCACCCAATTCAACTAGCATGTGCCTACTTGAATCAGTGGGCTTTTGGGGCTGGAATAGGACAGGTATATAGTTGACTGACCCCAACTTAGGGCTGAACAAGCCACATTTAGTTTATCAGAAAATTGAAGATAAGCCCTGGCCTTATCTGGCATTTCTGACTAAAAGGGCCTTATTCATGGGAAGGGATCTATTAAGTCTCCGTTGTTTTTTGCAGTGGCTATTGTACTTCTGTTTATGAAATGACCAGTGTGTACTTCTACGTACTTCTGTAACGGTCACAGTCTCCTAAACCTAAGTGGCAACCCATTCAGGAATCTATAATCTGGAGAAGACCTGCCTTTGATCTCAAATTTTCCCTTCACAGAATTCCACTTACTCAGAAACACCTGAGGACCCTCCTACTGTTCATCACTTGTCTTTGCTGGTCTTTTCCTCACCTATCTTCCCCGTGACCCCTCCTATCACATTCAGGAAGGAAGAAGAGTTGGGATGACCTGCTCAAACCATCACAGAAATGAACGGGAGTAGGGGGGAAATGACACCACCACCTTCCTTTCTACTAGAAAGCAAATCCCCTTTAGTTGCCTCATTTCTTCAATCCCTCTAGCTGCACTAACTCAGTTTCAGGTGTTTGCAGTTTTTCTTTGTCCTGGACTAAGGCTCAATTATGTTGTTTGATGATGTTCCCTTCTGCACAGACTAAAGAACAGCACATCAGGATCAGAGGAAATTGTAAAATATGTGAATCTTGGCCAATTACATGGATTACATATAGCTGTTTGTCTGCAAATCAGGTCTCTAATTTGGTATCATGTCACACAAGCTTCAATAAAAAGAGAAGGGCTATATTGCAGGTATGCAAGTCTTCTGCCATGACAAAGACCAAAACACCCACATCTTTCTCTCCCATCAACATAGAGCCCAGGGAATATGAATCTTTCAAAAATAATAATTTTGCAAATCATAAAAACTTATTATCAGCAAGATGGTCTTGGCTCTTGCTCCAAGATTCAAGACATTGATAGACAAAGGTTCTGAAAGATTTATGCCTTAACAGAACGCAAAACCTCATAAATAAGGATCTAAAACTGTAACTGCTCTGGGGATTTCAGCCACAATACAGTTTCAATAATGCTAACTTCTTGAATGGGTGAGTGAAGACACCAGGCAGGCTGGTGAGGCTCATCTATGTTAGAAAAATGAATGGGATGCACTGACTGTGACTCTATTTGTGAAGAGCATGGGTTCTTACCCAGGGCATCCAGACTGATGCATAAACAAGACCAGCCTTAGCTAAGGCATGTGATCTTTAAACTGCAAAGTCACCACTGGGAGGGTGTGTTCAGCCTACCCACCAGAAAAAGTGGCACTATAGCAACCTAGAGCAGATAGACATAGCTTAGCAAGAAGGAACTGCAGGCCACTTACAGACTTCTGGATACTGAAGCACAGCTCAGGTTGCTGGAAGGGATTGGGGCTGTCCCCGTCCTCCGAATTATGTGAGGCAGCATTTTGTCGCACTCGGGAAAGAGGCTGAATGACGCCTGGCTTGGTCTGCTTGTGTCAATACCAGACAACAGGGGGAAAGGCAGAGGAAAAGGCAGGGGAGGGAGACAGAGAAATGAGCAGTTAGGGCAGCAAGATGTCTCTGCCATGCAAGTGAATAAGACAAATCCATGCACCTGAGCTCAATTCCTCAGGTGTGCTGCTGATTCCAGCTACCACACTGGGAGGGAAATCTACTGAAGCAAACATCAAACAATGCCTCTGGTGCAAGTATTTTGGACAGGCAAAGAGATTCAGACAAGTCAGGGTCACGACAGCACCAATGGGTTACAGAGAAGGCCAGGACACAAGGAAGAATCTGCCATACAAGTAGCAGCTGCAAGGGTCAGCAGGATATGGCATGAGTACGTCAAAGCTTGGAGAATGTAAGCATCATGAATGGAAGATGCAGTAGGGAAACATCAGCAAGGAATGGGTATTGGCAAAAGCTGGGGATGAAAATTAACTGAGACCCAGCTAGGACTCCAATTAGAGAAATGCAGGCATACGAGCAGAGACAAGATTCTGAGATTTGACCTAGATGTCATCACTGTTGAATGCTGTGTGGAAGCGAACAAAACATCTAATACTAAAGAGAGTAGAAGCAGGAATTGAGTAAGCCAGCAAAAACTACATGAGTGAAAGCTGCAAGCGTAAACAGGAATAAAAGCTGCAAAAACACTTGCATCAAGTTTTCAAATTGACAATATTTAAGACTTAGTGCATTTGTACAAACTTGAGGTATAGTGAAGGGCTGAAGAAGACAGAATAAGAGCCAACAGTGAGACTTGCAGGGCTGGAAGTGAGCACGCACAGAAGGAAGAGGCAAGCTCTGTGTGCTGGAGAATGCATAGGGACACTACAATAAGGTCTCATGGCGGATGTACTTACTGATTTACTGTCATCCTGCGATGTAATGAAGTTAATGGAAGCCTGAAAACAGAAATACAGGTGTAAATTTGGAGTCCATACAGGAAGCCTTTAGTTTACCCTGCTCCATACAAAAAGAAATACAAAACTCCCAACCCCTCCCCCTGCCCCGCTGCCCGCCCTGTACAGGGAAAAGCCCCCAAGTCCCATACTAACCCTACCATATGTTCTTCATGTGGGGAGTGGTCCAGAGCCCACCCGCAAGAGCTTCTCCCAGTTCCTCTGCTATGTGAGGAAGCACTCACAACTCTCTCTGCACATCTCTGGGCACTGATCCCCACCCTCCCGCTCTCCGCTGCAGCTCAGCTGGTCCTGGCCCTTGTTTACATCCCCTGCCCTCTGCACTTGCTACTGAGCTTGAGCAAAGCCATCAGCACCACAGCTGCTCTGCCAGGAAGCGCTTACAGATGCCATCTCAGCAGTGGCTAGTCGGGAACAACCTCTTGTGGCTCAGCCTGCCACCCTGGGCACTGCTCTCCGCAGCAAGCCCTCAGCGCGCACCAAGCCCAAGAGCCGGGGAACGCAGAGCTGGAGGAAGGGGCGAAGAGCAGCGGTGCCGGGTGAGAGCAGCACAGAGCAGCAGCGCACACTGCACACCAACAGGCACTTACAAAGCGGGTCTCCCTGCCTGACAGGTGAGCAGGCCGAGGGGCTGCAGGCATCTGGAGAGGGGCAACGCCAGGGAAGATCGTCAGGGGAGAGAATGGGAGAGAAAACGAAGAGATCGGGTTTTCCGCTTGAGAGGCTGAGACAAGCACCTTTCCCAGCACAGAAACTGCAGTTACCCAGAGCTGTCAGTGTCCCCATGCAGCTCCTTGCTGCCTGTCATGGAGAAACCCCCCTCTGCCCTTCTTGGCACGCACACACAGACCCACCACAAACACCTCCTTCCTCCCCCTGCCTGCTTTCTCCCCCACCAGAAGCTTGCAGAGCTCAAGGCCAGGTAAGACCATCATGACGCCAGCCTCAGGACAAAGGATTCAACTTCCCTCAGTAGTTCTCCGAGAGCTCTGAAATAAGCCTGTAAATTCTGGCTGCACTACAAGATGTCAAAACTGAAGAATTTACATTGAAAATAGATGGCGACAGAGAATTAGAGATGCAATTCTTTGGAACTTCTACTCCAGAGCAACAACTTGAAGGTCAAGTCTCCTGAATCCCCAGAAAATGTACAAGCCACAAGGCTTATGATTGCCCTGTGTCCTTCCGTATTACCTGTTGGACCTGTTCAATTTTGTATAACATTCCTTGTCCAGAGAGAACGAAATCTACCAGATACAGCCTTACCTGACATGCAGGAGACTGCTGTGGAAGGCTCTGATCCAAAAAGTATTTGGATCATGTAAACATGACAGAAAGCTCATGTACAGAATGCAGGGTTGAGAATGCCACTAGCAAGACTAATGGCTCAGCATTGCAACACCAAGGCAACTTCAAGAACAACTGCCGGAGTCACTAATTCATAACAGCCATAGACCAAGTAAGGAAAAAAAAGGTATCAAAATGACATACAGACTAGATCTCAGAAATAAAAGCAGTGAGCAAACCTGCTGAAGACCTTAAAAGGCTAAAATAAAGGACAAAGTCATGAAATTGGCTATAAATGCTTTAAGAAATTAATAAAATCTCTCATGGTATACACCTCTCTGAACAGAAAGATGAAAAACAAGAAAAAAGCTGTCTAGATTATTCAACATGTTGCTCAAGCTACAGAGAGATTATGACACAAAAAACCTGAAGTGATAGAATAAACTACAAATTACAGCAAGGGCTACACAACAGGGAATTTGAGACATCCAACTTAAAACTGGAAAGGCAAATGCCTGCATCTGCAAAAAATGCTCGTGAGGTGCTCTTAACTCCATAGAATGCTTTAGTGAGACTTTGTTTATTCTTCCCAGAGCCCACGGAGGAGAGAGTGAACAGTTTCACCTGGGAAGTTTCCACTGTCAGAGCAGTGACTGCTATGAGAAGACAAAGCGGTCACTGTTGCCACAGGAATTGGATAATGACAAACCATTAGACTCTAAAGACCATTTATCATTGAGTAAGCCCACCCTGAGTTAGAAGAGCAGATGGCATTATAGCCAGAGGGCCGCTAGTGGCAAGGACATCGGCACTGAGCCTCCAATGCCAAAACACTGATAAACAAAAACATCAGGGGTACTATGAAAGTTGCCTATGACAAATTGGAACAAGTGACATTCCATCCAAATACAAGTTTAAAAAAAAAAAAAAAATCACAATGAAAGTAGTCAAATATTGGAGCTGGCATCTAGAAAGATGTAGACTTTCCATCTCTAGAGGTGTTCAAAATTTAACTGGACATGGCCTTGAGTAACCTGATCTAATTGGACCTGCTCTGAGTGTGGTCTCAGACCAGACCTTCCATCCTAAATCACTCTGTGAGCAGCTATAGGGCCACCCTTTGGAATTTGGGCTTCTTTTTCAACTGAGAGCTGAGGGTTTTTAAAGACAGAGCAAATTAATATCTAGATCTCTTTCTATTGTAGAATGAGGAGTATCAGCCCCACCCCATTCCTTCTAGACAGAAAAAACCCAATCTCAAAGAAAATTTGCACTTGTGGTAAACTTACAAATGGCCCAAAATAAACCTCCAATCAGTGTGCAACTGCTGTCAGAAAAGCAAATAAGTAAACATATGCAGCTGGAACAGAAAGCATTGAAATAGTATTACTATCGTGAATAGTATCTGATTCTAATCTTATTGTGTCCCTGGTGGTCACTCAATTTCAAAGCATCTGACGGAGATGCAAGATAGGCCAAGGAAGCAATAGAAGAGGGACTGAACAGTTGCTCGCTACAGCTCCACTGTCCTATTCACTGCTCCCAGACACATGGTCCCAACCCTTCTCCTGAGTCAGTGTTACTTGTCACCTCACCCCAAGATGATGCAATTCATCTCGCTAAGCTGAACTAACCTAGCAAAAAAGCAGACTGCTTTTGTCCAGTTTAGAGAACTGAAATGACTCAGCTAAAGATCAGGTAAGTGCCAGAGCTAGTGGGACCAAATAGTTGGAGAGCAGCTCCACTCCAAAAAGAATGCAACAGACACAAAATGACTAAGGACAGAGTACAAAGTATGATTTTCTGTTCATTCCAGCCCATTAATATAAAAAAGAATAACACATAATGACTGTGAAGGGAAAATTTTTTAAAAATCCATTTAAGAGTATTTAATTTCAAAAGGCTCAACTAACTTGTGAAACCTACTGCCACAGGATGAAAAGTGAAATCAAAGACTTAGCGTGACTTAAAAGAAAAGATCAGAGTGGATATGAGAAATAAGAATGACTATTGAGAATAGGTAATGCTTACCAAAAAAAAAAAAAAAAAATCAAAATCAAAAGTTACAAGAAATAAAGAAACTTCCCATTTCAGAGTGAAAGCTGGCCTCTAACCAAAGAGTTTTAGAAAATCATTCCCTAAGGGTAGGCAAACCTGTAATTGTGTGCTGCAGGATCTTTCAATTTTCTCTCGAACAGCTGATGTGGGTTGCCGGCAGCATCACAAACAGACCTAGGAATCTCTCTGGGAGACTGAGTAGCACTGGTTTACAGACCTGAGATGATTCTCCAAGTCCTGACTTCTCCATTTCTTCCGACACACCAATTACCAGAATTAAAGACTCTGTATAAGGCATTGGTGAGGCCATTCTCAAAAAAGACAACTACCATTTTGTAGTCATTCTAGGTACTCCCCTGCTCATTACCCTGCAAATTAAGATACCCCTCAGAGCAGTAACTTTCCACCGAGTTTATGACTAGCTAATTATACTCCTGGGTCTCTGAGATATTTTGAAAGAGCAGAGTTCTTCCCCTAGTTCTCTAGTTGCCTCCTGTGACGGATACCCTTCCACCTCAAAGGTATCACTCTCAAAGATGGAAATCATATTCATCTTCCTTTGCCCTTCTACCCTGGTGTCATCTTGCCCTGGAAGCATGCCTTCCTGCCTTTCCCCATATTGCCTGTCCTGGGGGCAGTCTCACCTGCTGATTACTAGGAGAATAGGGGGTTTCACGCCTGGAATTTCCTGTCCCAGACTCGCCCGCAGGAGCCTGAAAGAGAGAAGACAAAGCTAGATAGTTACCATACAGCAGCAACTTCCATGCCTCTCCCTTAGCAGTGAGACCCGGAGGCAAGGGAGACCACTGACATCCAGCCCGAGGCCAACTAAGGGCCACCTCAATGTGAGAGAGCAGAGTTAGCATTGGGCCCAACAGCAGCTGTCACATGGCAGAAACTTGCAAAAAGCGCTAGAAACAGCAAGGGAATGACATTAATCATTGGAACTGACATCATATCCGAACCCTGTAAGGCCAACTGAATCAGGTTAAAGCCTTCTGCCTTGTAAGACATCCCCAGGAATCCTCTCCCCCTAACTTCTCTTTAGCCCTCAACTGTGGGTCCAACCCCAGTCTGGGCCACAGTCTAGGCAAACCTCCTGTTGTTTAGACACTGAGCAAAAAAAGCCACTGCCAACCGAAAGGAGATAAGATTCATCCCCAGCCACATCCATTGCTGTTGGCCTACTAGTAAGACCTTTACGAGTAGCCCAAAGCATAGGAAAGACACCCATTCCACAGGAAGCTATAGAATCATAGAATGGTTTGGGTTGGAAGGGACCTTAAAGATCATCTGGTTCCACCCCCACTAGACCAGGTTGCTGAAAGCCCCATGCAGCCTGGCCTTGAACACTTCCAGGGATGGGGCATCCACTTATCTGGGCAACGTGTTCCAGTGTCTCACCACTCCCATTGTAAAAAATGTCTTCCTTATATCCAAGCTAAATCTACCCTTTTTCAGTTTAAAACCATTGCCCCTTGTCCTGTCACTACAGGCCCCAGTAAAAAGTCTTTCTCTGTCTTTCTTATAAGCCCCCTTTACATATTGAAAGGCAGCAACAAGGTCTCCCCAGAGCCTTCTGCTCTCCAGGCTACACAACCCCAGCTCTCTCAGCCTATGAAATTATGTGGGTCTGAGCACTCTTCCCAGGTCTCAACTATAAGTGAGCCACCTCACTTACCTTCAGGATCCCCAGAGTGCTTAAATCAGATGGCGTTACCTGCCTGGTTAGCCTTTCCGAGAATGGCCAGACACAGAATATCACATGCCCTGGAAAAGCTTCAGAGCAAACAGGGAAGTCAATTCTTTTTAATGACACTGAGGTTACGCAGCCAACGAAGGCAAGGTTTTGAAGTCACAATTTCAATGTGGCACCTTAAACCTTGCTGTGTTCTATTTTAGTTAAGTAGTTTTATTGACCCTAACCTGCTGCCGATTTGTGAAATACAAAAAGTATGCAGATGTCTCCCACGTTTGTTGTTACTTCTGCATTGCTTATCAAGAATTAAGCAATTGCAATTAACTTCTGCACTGAATGAACACAACTACAGCTCAAAGTGTGTTCCAGTTCCAAAAAAGTGGGGGTTTTTTGTTTTGGTTTGGGTTTTTTTGTTGTTTTTTTTTTTTTTTTTTTTTTTTTTTAAAGTTTGGAACCTTTGTGATTTTTT